AAAAACAACACTACTAGTCAAACAATACCCTATACCTTGTGTGGTTGTGTGAGTGCAGCCTGTTGAAATCCTTCCATAGCCTTGGCAGCTCATGACAAGAGCCTAGGGTGATTACTGATGCCATAAACAAGAGTGTCAATTTAAGTCAACAACAGGATTCACTGTGCACTTACTCCTCATGTAGGATCTTTGTCCTTAGTGTGCTGTACATTGAGATTTAATGCTATAACTAGTACTCAAACAGTATTTTTCACTTTATGTTTCTGTGTGGGAGCAAACTGTTGAAATCTTTACCTAATGTATGCTAAACTGATCTTCTGTATATAAAGAGAATCGAAAATGAATCCTCATGTGAATGGAAGGGGAGAGGGAGTGGGAAAGGGGAGGGTTGTGGGTGGGAGGGACGTTATGGGGGGGAAACCATTGTAATCCATAAGCTGTACTTTGGAAATTTATATTCATTAAATAAAAGTTAAAAAAAAAGTTTATGACCAAAAAAAAAATATCGCATGTTCAAGCTCTAAATTTCAAATATTTCATTTTTCATCACCACTTGCAAACCTTGGCATCACTTGTTCAGCACCCACACTGACAATATTCTTTTTTTTTTTTTTTTTGGACAGGCAGAGTGGACAGTGAGAGAGAGACAGAGAGAAAGGTCTTCCTTTACCGTTGGTTCACCCTCCAATGACTGCCGCGGCTGGCACGCTGCAGCTGGCACACTGCCGTGATCCGAAGCCAGGAGCCAGGTAATTATCCTGGTCTCCCATGGGGTGCAGGGCCCAAGTACTTGGGCCATCTTCCACTGCACTCCTGGGCCTCAGCAGAGAGCTGGACTGGAAGAGGAGCAACAGGGACAGAATCCGGTGCCCCGACCAGTACTAGAATCTGGTGTACCGGCGCCGCAAGGCAGAGGATTAGCCTATTGAGCCATGACGCCGGCCCTGACAATAATCTTGAACATTATCAGGACCTCTTGTTCTTTATACTACACCATTTTCCCACTACCGGCCTATTTTCTTGACCCCTTTCTCTCTAAATGGAAGTACTGTGGAAAACAAGAACCTGGTTTCTGCCAATATTTAACATGGTTAACCAGACAATGAGCACTGATGGACAAAGTCGCACAGGTAACTTGGTTAATTTCGCTTAACATCCACAGTAATAAACCCTAATGGGGCCTTCAAAATACCCATTGTTTTGCCACTCTCCATGGTCATTACTTTACACCTTTCCTTCATCTTCAGGTTTTTTTTTTTTCCATTTCTTTCATTTAGTGACCTCACTTTATGTTTCATAGAGATAATAAGAGTTACCAGACAAAAACTCATTCATCTTCATATGACCAGAGCAATAAACCTTCCCGCAACAGCCACCAAATTCTACTCCTTCCTCTCCTTAAAATGGAGAACGTGCCTTTTCTCTTATGAAAGCTCAGACGTTGCTTTTATGGATCCTATTCCCCTCACATGTTCAAGGGCTTCCTTCTTGCATTTCTCCTCTCTGTAACATATTATCAATTCTCCATTTTTGCTGGGCTGTGCCCACTAGCCTAAAAAGTGCTGTAGTGTTTTTTCTTAAAGAAAAAAAAGGAAAAAAAATCCATTGTTCTCACCATTCACTTCATTTCCCTTTTTCTCTGCTTCTCATTGTAGTACAACCTGTCAAAATTGTCTACTTCTACAATCTTCTTAACTCCTTCATGCTCTGACTTCTTTTTTCTAATTCTTATGAACCCACTGATAGAGTCTGTCAGCATGGTACTGGTACAGAAACAGATGGATAGACCAAGGGAACAGAATAGAAACACCAGAAATCAATCCAAACATCTACAGCCAACTTATATTTGATCAAGGATCTAAAACAAATCCCTGGAGCAAGGACAGTCTTTTCAACAAATGGGACTGGGAAAACCGGATTTCCACATGCAGAAACATGAAGCAAGACCCCTATCTTATATCTTACACTTACACAAAAATCCACTCAACATGGATTAAAGATCTAAATCTATGACCCCACACCATCAAATTATTAGAGAACATTGGAGAAACCCTGCAAGATATAGGCACCAGCAAAGACTTCTTGGAAAAGACCCCGGAGGCACAGGCAGTCAAAGCCAAAATTAACAATTGGGATTACATCCAATTGAGAAGTTTCTGTACTGCAAAAGAAACAGGAAGAAAAGTGAAGAGGCTACAGAATGAGAAAAATATTTGCAAACTATGCAACAGATAAAAGATTAATAATCAGAATCGACAAAGAGATCAAGAAACTCCACAACAACAAAACAACCCACTTAAGAGATGAGCCGAAGATCTAAATAGAAATTTTTTCAAAAGAGGAAATCCAAATGGCCAACAGACACATGAAAAAATGTCCAGGATCACTAGCAATCAGGGAAATGCAAATCAAAACCACAATGAGGTTTCACCTCACCCCGGTTAGAATGGCTCACATGCAGAAATCTACCAACAATAGATGCTGGCGAGGATGTGGGGAAAAAGGGACACTAACCACTTTTGGTGGGAATGCAAACTGGTCAAGCCACTATGGAAGTCAGTCTGGAGATTCCTCAGAAACCTGAATATAACCCTACCATACAACCCAGCCATCCCACTCCTCAGAATTTACCCAAAGGAAATTAAATTGGCAAATATAAGAACTGTCTGCACCTCAATGTTTATTGCAGCTCAATTCACAATAGCTAAGACATGGAATCAACCTAAATGCCCGGGAAAGGTAGAATGGATAAAGAAATTATGGGATATGTACTCTATAGAATACTATACAGCAATAAAAAATGAAAACCGGTCATTTGCAACAAAATGGAGGAATCTGGAAAACATCATGCTGAGTGAAATAAGTCAATCCCAAAGCGACAAATATTATATGTTCTCGCTGATCAGTGATAACTAACTGAGCACCTCAAAGGAAACCTGCTGAAGTGAAATGGACACTATGAGAAACAATGACTTGATCAGCCCTTGTCCTGTTGAGGGACAACTTCCTACATTATTCCTTTTAGTATTTTTTGGTTCTACTTAATACCATTGGTTAAACTCTTCAATTAACACACAGTTATTCTGAGGTGTTTAAATTTAACTGAAAAGTGATCCCTGTTAAATATAAGAGTGGGAATAAGAGAGGGAAGAGATGTACAATTTGGGACATGCTCAAGCTGACTTGCCCCAAACAGTAGAGTTAGAAATGTACCAGAGGATTCCAATTCAATCCCATCAAGGTGGCATGTACCAATGCCATCTCATTAGTCAAAGTGATCAATTTCAGTTCATAATTGATTATAATGAAAGGATTAAGAGTCAGAAGGATCACATAAACAAGGCTAGTTCTGTCAATACTAACTGATAGAATCAAAAAGGAGAGAACGATCCAATATGGGAAGTGGGAAACACAGCAGACTTAAACAATGGCAGATGTCCTAAACAGCACGCTGGCCTCAGAATCAGTCCTTAAGGCATTTGGATCTGGCTAAAAAGCCCATGAGAGTATTTTAGGCATGGAAAGACAAGACACTCTGGCAAAAAAAAAAAAAAAATCCCCTAAATGAAAGATCTCTGCGAGTGAGATCCCGGTAGAAAGAACGAGCCATCAAAGAAGGAGGTACCTTTCTCTGAGGGGAGGAGAGAACTTCTACTTTGACTATGGCCTGGTCTAAATAAGATCAGAGATGGCGAACTCAAGAGGCTTCCATAGCCTTGGCAACTCATGACAAGAGCCTCAGATGATTACTGACACCACAAACAAGAGTGTCAATTGTTAAATCAACAGCAAGAGTCACTGTGCACTTTCTCCCCATGTAGGATCTCTGTCTTTAATGTGTTGTACTATGTGCGTTAACGGTATAACTAGTACTCAAACAGTACTTTATACTTTGTGTTTCTGTGTGGGTGCAAACTGTTGAAATCTTTACTTAGTATAAACTAAACTGGTATTCTGGATATAAAGAGAATTGAAAATGAATCTTGATGTGAATGGGATGGGAGAGGGAGTGGGAGATGGGATGGTTGCAGGGGGAGGGAGGATATGGGGGGAAAAGCTGCTATAATCCAAAAGTTGTACTTTGGAAATTTATATTTATTAAATAAAAGTTAAAAAAATATAAACACCACCATGTTGACAGATATGGTGGTCAATTCCCTGTCCTGCTATTCATTTTCACATTAGAATTTGATACTATTAACCAATCCTGAATTGAAATACTCCCCTCCCTTGTTTTATGATAACATAATCTCCTGGTTTTCTTCTTACCACATCAAGAGTTCTTCATCAGTTCTCTATCAACATCTTTCCACTCCATCTGACTTTTTATTTTTTATCCTCTACCTTTCCCAGTCTAAATATAATGGTTACCCACATATTCTCTCTCTCTCTCTCTCTCTCTCTCCCCTTCTCTCTCAGTCTTTCTCTATCATCTACCAATCTTTCTTCTCTCAACCTTGGGGTGAATTAAATAGCATTTATATAATGAGGATATCTAAATTTTAATGGCTGGCACCATTCCATCCTCTGTGCTTTTGACTTCTATATCAATTGCCCATTTGACATCTGTCAAAAGGAAAAAAAAAGTTTGGAAACTATTTGAAGTGGTAACATACTCTTTTTCAGTGCTGCAGTATGGGAGAGAGAATAGAGAGTAAATTGATCTCAACCCCCTCAAAACAGAAGGCAGAAGATGTTTTAAATAGCTAAGCATGCTAAACAAATGTACTAACATGGTTAAATGGGAGTTGGTCATTATGAATAGCTCCTCTGAGTTTGTTAATTGCTGATTATTTGGAGGAGAAATAAACATCATATTTTTAAAACAGAAGGTTTTATCTTAATAAGTAATGTTGAAAAGTAGTTTGCAACCCACTGGACTAATTTTGTTACTCACAAATATATATAGACTGTAGTTCAAAAATCACTGTTGTGAAACCTACTATTCATCTAAATATTATAAAATCTAAATGACATTAGCTCATTAGAAAGTATTTCACCTTAACCACATCATAAGTACTTATCTCACTCTTCCACTCGCAGTGAACTGAATTGCTGAGGTGTACTTTGGCTTAATTCCATACAGGCAAAGGAGAATGATCCTGTGTTAATTGTTGAGAATGTCGGGCCCATCATTGTGATGCAATAGGTTAAGCCATGCCCTGTGATGCCAGATTCTCATATGAGCTCCAACTGGAATTTCAGCTGCTCCACTTCTGATCCAGTTCCCTGCTGGTGCACATAAGAAATCAATGGAAGATAGCCCAAGTGTTTGGGCCCCTGCCACCTATGTGGGAGAACCAGATGGAGTTCCAGGATCCAAGCCCTGGCTATTGCAGCCATGTGGGGTAGGAACCAGCAGATAGAAGATCCCTTTATATGTATAAAATATTTTAACTGAAGAGAATGTCGAGGACTTTGTTCACTGCACTATACAGTGTCTCCTCTTCAAAGAACCAGGATAGAAAAGTGTTTCTCATCCCACCATCAGGAATAATGGTGATTACTGTAGGTTACTGGCTTATATTTCCTTACAGAAACTCATTGTATTTTCTTCCTCACACTGCAGCTTGAAACTTAGTCTCAGGTACTAGAGTTTAGTACAGCTTGGGATGATGCTATTCCGCATTATAGTGCTTGGGGTCAAGTCCTGTTTCCACTTCTGATACCAGTCCCTGCTAATGCCTACCCTAGGAACCAGCAGTTAATGACAGATAATGGCTCAAGTACTTGGGTCCCTAGCTCTCACATGAGAGATCTCAATTGAGTTTCAGGTCTTTGGCTCACTCTGCCATCCTGACCAAGCCCCAGGTGTTGGGTAGTGAACCAGCAAGTAAAAAAGTTTCTCTCATTCTCTCTCTCTCTCTCTCTCTCTCTCTCTCTCTCTTTCTGTGTGTGCATATGTGTGTGTGGCTTTCAAATAAATGTAATTTTTAAAGGAGCTTAGTTTTATATCTACCACTTACCTCCAACAGGTACCTGGGATTTTGTGGCTACAATTTGGATATTTAACCTCATTTCTAATTGTATTTTGCTTTTTTACTCCTTATTTTTCCTTTTCCTCACCAGTCTTACTGGTCTTGTATTATTTTAAACTGCTATGTTTTTCTATCTTGATATACCCTTTTGTGAAACAAAAGAGAAAAATGATAGAAGAAAAGTAGAGAGGCAGGCAAAGAGAGAGAGAGAGAGAGAGAGAAAGAGAAGTTTTCATACGTGGTGATAAGATTCAGATTTAAACAATTATTTCTTACATTTTCAAACTGAAATTATAAAAAGGCACAAATTCAGAATAATTTCTCCTGCCTGTATCAACTAATAGTTATAGGAGAAACTGTAAATTTACAGTAGGGTTTTACTTAAAACTAAAATATTCAGATGCAATTATAAACACTGCCCAAACTAGTGAGAAATAACTTGAAGCAAAATCTAACTGTATATAATTTGCCATAATGCGATGGAGTACAGTATTGTTTTCATAGCCAAGAGAACAGTGTGGAAATGCATGAGACCTAAACTGAAAGAACAGTTTCCTCTCAGAAAACCAAACAAAATGCACCAGCAGCCAAGGTGACTGTAGCTTCAAATATTAAACTAAATCATGAAATAACTCAGGATATTGGAAGAGAGATAAAATCAACTGCAAAAAAAAAATATGTGCTTGGTTCTATTTTTTAAGACCTTGAAGTAGTCCAAAATCAAGGAAATTATTTGGCTTCATCAACAACGAAGTAAAATTAATTTTCTAATAATGATTTGAAAAATCAAATCAAACTTACAGTTGTTTATATAGCACCCAGCCTGAAAAATTATTTATTTCATTAAAAGTATATTAGTTGAAGAAATCCAATATTAATATCTACCTTACTGTTAGGCAACTTTTATGATCTTGCAGTAATGCATTTATTATTTTCATGATTCTGGTATATAAATGATCAGTGATAACATTTCCTTTAATAGCCTATCTCCAAGAGTTAAATTAACTATTCTAATGCTATCTCGATTTTACTCACCCACTCACCCTACCCTCAATCCAGCTTTTTATTACAAATTCATGGTGATACTTAGGCAAAGGCAGAAATGTACATAACTGTAACAAAAATAATGTATGGAGCAACCCAAGGATGAAGATATTTCTAAATATTTGATAAATAAGTATCTGAATAAATAGTATTCAGGAAACTGGTTGAAAAACTGTAATTATAATACATAATATTATTTTAATAACTTGATTACCTTATCTCCATTTTAATGAAGAGTCGTAATAGAACTAGGCTTAGTTATGAACAGTAGTAAGGTGATAGCCAAAAAATAGCTTTCTTGAGAAAAGATAAAGCAAGATGTAATTGTTTCTGCCATCCCATAGTAGTGCTTCTTTTAGAATCATACCTCTGTGCTCCTCTGGTTTCCTCTAAAATTTGTCAGTCTCTTCTCATTGTCACTCTTTGATCTCCATTGACTTTGATCTTCCCTTACCTCCTCATTCCAATTTCTAAATGTTGAGGGCCTCAGCAGCAATTTTTGTCCATCTATTTTCACAATCCATTCTCTCTCTTGGATCATCTCAGCTAATCCTGGAGTTGAACATACCATCTCTGTTAATGGCTCCTCATTATTATTCCACTCTGGACAATCCTTTTGATTTTGGACTCCCATAGGCATTAATTTAGTAAATGTTTATTGAATTATTGGGTGTCCATAATATACCAGGTAATATCCTGGATATTGAGAAAGTCTCCACTTTCGTGGGACTTATTTTACAAATGAAAAAAAAACAAGTAATGAACAAAATAAACATGCATAATATTGATTACATTAGAAGCAGTGATTGCTAGAGAGAAAAGAGCAGGATACAGGCATAGAGCTTTGAAGTTGAAGACTGAAGCCATTCTAAGTTTAGTGATCATGAGGGAATCTTTGCAGAGGTAAAATTTTATCAGATATACATGGAATAAAGGTAAGAGCCAAGCAAAGATCTGCTGGAAGATGTTTTCCAGGTACAACAGCAGTGAGTGTGGAGGCTCTGAGACATAAATTGCATGGTACATTTCCACAAATAGTAAGATGTATGTGATGGGAGTAGAGTACATTAGAGAAAGAAAGAAGGAAGACAGAATCAAAGAGATATGCAGAGGCCAAAACAAGACCTTGCTAGCCATTATAAGAACTTTAGATTTATTCTAACTGGCATGAGAGGAAGCCAGAGGAGGTTTTAGAACAAATGATTGATATGCTCTGAACTAATTGCCCACTTGCTATCTCCACTTGAATGTCTGCCATGTATCTAAAACTTGATATGTTCAAAACAGAACTCTTAATCTCCTCCCACTAAAACTAAAATGAAATCTTCCTGCTCCTTCTGTTTTTCCCTATTGTAGTAAATGGTACTGAAACAATTCAATAATTCATCATAAACCTGCAAGCCTTTCTGGATTCACCTATCTCCATTATCTCACACCCACTTCCTGTTAAAAGAAATTATATTTTTCATCTTCAAAACAGATAATTAATCTCTTCTCTGTGCATCTCACACCAGCAAACTAGCTCAAGCCATGACCATCTCTATTCTAAATCTCAACACAGAGGCCAGATTTTTCATGATTTGACTTTCCATCACGGAAAATCCATATTGCTGTCATGATCCATAAGGCCATGGGTGATGATATTTGTAGCTTGTGCTTTCACATTTCATACCACTCTTTCCAAACGTCCTTGTTCCACCCACACTACCCTTTATCATTTCCTCATACATACCTTTCCAACGTCAGGGCATTTGACTCACTATTCCTCACTACTCTCTCATTGCTGGCTTGTTCTCATCCTCCAGTCTTAACTGACATGTCCTATCCTCAAGAAAGATTTCCCTGCCCACACCTTCTGCAGTGGTACTTCCCTATTATTCTCTATCACAACATCCTGTCTTTTTATTGTATGGCTCTAATTGTAGCATGTGCTTCATAAGAACAAGGATCATGTCTGTCTCCTTCATTGAGTGAGCCATCCAAGAATCATGCCTGGGGTGTAGTAGGAACTTGACAAATGATTCTTGTATAAAGGATCAGTTAGTTCTACTTTCTCCCTGTATCATAAGAAAAATCTTTGCAAACATACAAGACTAACTCTCTTACAAAAAATATTTTCCTAAAATGTCAGGTGAAAAAAAATAAGGTTAAAGAATTAAATCATATTATCCATTTGACTTACCTATAAAATTTGGGACATGCTCAAGCTGACTTGCCCCAAATGGTAGAGTTAGAAACATACCAGGGGATTCGAATTCAATCCCATCAAGGTGGCATGTACCAATGCCATCTCACTATTCCAAGTGATCAATTTTAGTTCACAATTGATCATAATGAAAGGACTAAGAGTCAAAGGGAGCACATAAACAAGCCTAGTACCTGCTAACACTAACCGATAGAATAAATAAAGGGGAGAGTGATCCAACATGGGAAGTGAGATACTCAGCAGACTCAGAATGGCAGATGTCCTAAATAGCACTCTGGCCTCAGAATCAGCCCTAAAGGCATTCGGATCTGGCTGAAAAGCCCATGAGAGTATTTCAGGCATGGAAAGCCAAGACACTCTGGCAAAAGATCTCTGTGAGTGAGATCCCAGTGGAAAGAACAGGCCCTCAAAGAAGGAGGTACCTTTCTCTGAAGGGAGGAGAGAACCTCCACTTTGACTATGACCTTGTCTAAACAAGATAAGAGTCGGAGAACTCAGAGGGCTTCCATAGCCTTGGAAACTCATGACTGGAGCATAGGGAGATTACTGAGGCCATAGACAGGAGTGTCAATTGGTAAAGTCAACAACAGGAGTCACTGTGCACTTACTCCTCATGTAGGATCTCTGTCCTTAATGTGCTGTGCATTGAGATTTAATGCTATAACGAGTACTCAAACAATATATTTCACTTTGTGTTTCTATGTCGGTGCAAACTCTTGAAATCTTTACTTAATGCATACTAAACTGATCTTCTATAAAAAAAAAAGAAATTATCAATTCCCAACTTGACTCTCACTGGGATTAAACATGACAATAGGTCTGATCTGATTTCATCATCATTTAAAAAAATCATCTATTATTTTTCACTTTATGTTTCTGTGTGGGAGCAAACTGTTGAAATCCTTACTTAATGTATACTAAGCTGATCTTCTGTATATTAAGATAATCGAAAATGAATCTTGATGTGAATGGAAGGGGAGAGGGAGTGGGAAAGGGGAGGGTTG